AGACATGGTAAATCTTGTTGGCTACAGACAGATAGGTGGTCTTTAAACAGAGACCTACAGAATATGTCATTTAAAATATTTTAATACCATAAGGCTTTTCATGACAGCGAGACATATCTGTTCCTCACAGCACCAATTTACCTCAAAAGAGGATGATGGGCACTGAAGAACCTCAATATGGAAATGGGAAAGTTAGCCACTGGGCAAAGAAACTGCTCTTGCCTCAACTGCTGACAGTCTGCTGTCCAAACTGGACAAACAGGACAGAAAAGAAGGTGACTGACAAACTCTTCCAAGACAAGGTGGGACAGTCCTTCAAAATTCCTGCTTCATAGCAAAGTCTGTCAGGTATTCTAGGCCTGTGGGCCAAAGATGGATGCTCCAACACTGAAGAGGAACCTTGGGTGACTGTCCAGGCAGCCAGCTGTTTCCATCATTTCTATAGTTTTGGAAGTTGTTTGCTCTGCACTTCCTGTTTACTCAGGTAATATTTTATCCTTCTCAGGTCTCTGATGGAGTTAAAGATAATATAGTTATAGTTACAGCTTTCCTTGTTACCAAATTCAGAAAAGAAAATTTCACAAGAGGTATAAAGTGTATAAGGCTGAGAGACATAGAAGCTTAAATTGTTTATCTAAAAAAAATGTTTTGAAATCTAGAATGAGAGTCTTGGGTTGGTAATACAAGTTAGGATAGAAAGTGAATTGGGTCTAAAACGTTGGACTCACTAAGATAGAGTAGATAGTACAGTACTTTCTCTGAGTTTGCCAAATACAAATGGACTGGACATTATGAATGTAATTCTTACCTGATAACTGTTCTTATTGTATATAGTTTTACTATGTTAGAGTTAAAACACTTCTTTTTTATTTGGACAAAAGGGGGGCAATGTGGGATATTTCTACACTGTGTAAAGATGTATTTGCTGTGATTGGTGTAATAAAAAGCTGAATAGCCAGTAGCTAGGCAGGAGGTATAGGTGGGATTTCCAGGGAGAGAAAGGAAGAGGAGGAGAATCTAGGCACACAGGAGATGCCAAGAGACATGGAGAGGAAACAGGAGGGTACAAGACAGAAAAGAGGTAACTCCACATGATAGAACGCAGATTAATATAAATGGGTTGACTTAATTGAGCTAGTTAGGAAGAAGCCTAAGCTATAGGCTGAGATTTCAAAATTACTAACAAGTCTCTGTGTCATTATTTGTGAGCTGGCCAGCCGGACAGAGAAAGACTTTGTACAGTGGGGACATGCTGCTTCAGACAAGGAGCTGGTCCCTCCTCACAGCAAGATGAGGGCTGCTCTGGCTGGAGCGGGTAGGGAACCAGGCTTGGGGCTATCGGAGCTCTGCTGGCATCCAGCCAATGGGCACTGATGCTCCAGCTGTTCCATTTCTCCCCACAGACAAACCACACTGCAGGGATTTCAGCCGCAATTCCCTTCACCCAGTGAGAGGCATTCCTGTTCAGACAGGTTCCGCAGCCGTTTTCCCCTGCAGCGTGCTGGCAGGGGTGTCCTGCCTTCCTCTTTCTTGTTCTTCAGGTTTTCACATGTTGGGTTAGGACATAACTATGCAACTGGCATCAAGAAAAGAAAGAAGCTGGCTGTGGTGGCACAGGACTTTGATACCAGCCCTTGGGCAGCAGAGAACAGAGCTCGAGGCCAGCCTGGTCTGCATAGCGAGTTCCAGGCCGGCCATGGACGCACAGTGAGAACCTGGAATGAAGAAGAAGAAGAAAAAGGGGGAAAGACAGACGTTTTGCTGGCATCTCTGCTGCCGTGAGCTGGGCAAGCTGCTGTATGCGATGCCCCTCTGGGCTTCTGTGTGACCACTCTGGCTGGGCGAGACCCTCCTCTGGGATCCCGCCCTCTCTGGATATTATGAGAGTCAGTGACTATGAACTGTCCCCATGGATTCATGTATTTGGACATTTGGTCCCCAGTTCCTGGCACTGTTTTGCGAGTTTGTAGAACGTTTAGGGAGTGTGGCCTCCGTGGAGAAAGTGGGCTGTTGGGGTGGGAGGGCCTTTGGAGTATTTCTACGCTAGCTTCCTGATCTCCCCCAAGCGGTGTTCTAGCCATGAAATTCTGCTGTGCTTTCCAGTAACCCCTCAATTGCAAGACAAAACAAATCCACCCCCTGCTGTGTCTTAGATGTGGTGTTTCTCGAACCTGTCACTTCCATGGCTTGGGCGTTTCAGTTATCCTTCCCTTCTGTACCCTGGGTCTGTCTAATGCTTTGTCCCCCACATCTAGAATCAGGTGTTTATCATGCAGATGTGGGTAGGAGGCATGAGGCAGGGGAAGGACCCCTGGACTCTCCAGGACATGGCTCCTTCAGAGTCACAGTGAACTGCTCACCAGCACTGGACCTCAGTGGCATCTCCCCCATCCCTCAGAACTTGTCCTCCACTACATCTGTGCCATGTTGCTGTTTCCTTCAAATTGAAACATCTGCACGTATGAAACTGAGAAATTACTCCACACGTTCCAGGCCTAGGAAGTCTGTGGTGATATTTTATTTGTGCTGAAATGTGGTGATATTTTATCTGTATGTTAATAATTAAAGTTTGCCTGGAGATCAGAGGAAATAGCCAGCCATTAACACAAAAGTCAGGCAGTGGTAGCACATGCCCTTAATCAGATCACTTGGCAGGCAGGGTCTCTGTGTGTTCAAGGCCACACTAGGGAACAGAGTGGTGACACACGCCTTTAATCCCAGTACCAACCATAGAGACCTGGAGGTCTGTACAGACAGGCAGTGACAAGGAAGTGAGGTAGCTGGGCTAAGAGCCAATGAGAGGGCAGAACAGCGAGGCAATAAAAGCCTGGGTAGACAGAAAGTCACGGCATTGTGGAAGTTGCAGAGCTGGTGAGGTAAGGTGGTTGGTGGCTCTCACTATTTCCCTGATCTCTAAGGCTTTCACCCCTATATTTGGCTCCATGTTCTTTATTTAATAAGACCGCTTAGAAATTGGGCTATGGAAGTCAGCACTTACGGGACTCAGGAATCTCCTGAAAGCAATAGGGCTCACAAGGCGCCCCTCAAACTACAAAAGCAGTCATTGCAGGGGAAGACCCATCAAGCTGCCAGTGAGCAAGTCAGACAGGGGAACTCCAGCAACACAGCTGTGTGAGTCACCACCCAGGCAGGGGTGGCCACCCAGGCAGGGGTGGCCTCGGGTGACAGCCGCCTCTGAGTCACCCGTGCTCCTGTAAGCCATGCCAATCAACTCCCTGGCTCATTTAACCAGACTGGGGTGGAGCCAATCAACTCCCTGGTTCACTTAACCAGACTGGGGTAAAGCCAATCAACTCCCTGGCTCACTTAACCAGACTGGGGTAGAAACCTTTCTTTGGTCCGTTATCAGTGCCCTGCCCTGTCTTGGGGAACAGACAGCTGTTCACAGCTCCTCAGGAAAAGTCACACAACGACCTATCCCTCCACTGTAACTTCGGGAGCGTGGCTCTCTTGCTTCCTGGCTCTAGGGAGTTGGAGTAATTTGAAATTTGTGTGGTTTTCTTTTTTGCTTTCTGTGTGTGTGTGTGTGTGTGTGTGTGTGTACACGCAGGTGCATATGTGCACCTTATTTTTGTTGTTAATCTACCTCATGTGCTTTCTTCATTAAAGCTTTAGTTTCACCTACGGCGCTGTTTTGTTTTTAGACGCACCACTGGTTTCTACTGTCTGCGTGCGCAGCGACTGACTCCTCCGCCCATCAGTGGCGTCTTTACTCTCAGATATGCTGCAATCCAGTCCTCCAGTCCTCGGGACTCTGCAGCACAGTGTTCCAGTTCCTCAGAGACCCACCGCTTTTTGCACAGTCCTCCAGTCCTCGGGACTCTGCAGCACAGTGTTCCAGTTCCTCCAGAGACCCACCACTCTCCGCACAGTCCTCCAGTCCTCGGGACTGCAGCACAGCGTTCCAGTTCCTTGAGAGAGAGACCCACCACTCTCCGCACAGTCCTCCACTCCTCGGGACTGCAGCACAGTGTTCCAGTTCCTCCAGAGACCCACCACTTCGCACGGCTCTTCCTCTGGCCATGGCGCTGCACCGAGGGCTTTGTGGTTATGGTTGAAGGCAGGTGCCTCTGGGGCTTTGCTGCAGGTCAGTGGCTGCACCATAACAAGACCACATGGAACATAACCCACAGCTTCAGGTTTTTCAGACTGACCGAGGGCCATGAATTTGGGTGAGCCTGAGGGGTACCAGTCACACAGTGCCCTTTGAACTCCAGCACATACTCAGACTGTCTCCTGAAGATGGCTTTTCCTGGAAGCTCATGTCTTAGGGTTTCTATGGCTGTGAGAGACGCCATGACCACAGCAGCTCTTATAAGAAAATCATTTAATTATGGGGGCTCGCTTACAGTTTCAGAGGTTCCGTCCATTATCATCATGTTGGGGAGCAGGCAGATGTGGTGCTTCAGGAGTAACTGAGAGTCCTACATCTTACAGACATGTGGGCCACAGGAAGCTGATTGTTACACTGAGTGGTATCCTGAGCATATGAAACCTCAAAGCCCGCCCCCACAGTGACTCACTTCCTCCAACAAGGCCACACCCACACAAACAAAGCCACACCTCCGAATAGTGCCACTCCCCATGAGATTATGGGGGCCAATTACATTTAAACTACCACAGCACACTAATGTATTTTTAAAAGTTTTCCTTAAAAACCCCATACAATATTTTACATAGTTTTCAAGAAGAAGATTCCATGTAAGAAGCCATTCCATCACAGTGCTGAACATTAAGTGCTGGAGCTGTGGTCTGAGAGTCCTCCTCATCCTGCCTCCAAGCACAAACACCCTCCACTGCTTAACCTTCTCTCCCCAGAAACCAGACGTGGTCCTCTGTAAGAGGACAGTCCTAACTGTGGCTCATACTGAAAACTTTCAGTCACTAAATAATGTGCTGTGAGTTCGCAGAGCGGAGACCCGAGGGTAGGTTGGCCACACGCAAAGCGACTTTGCAGGAAAGTCCTTCTCAGTACATACCCCTGGGTATTTTGTATCCAGTTTCCCCTGGTTTTCTCAGATTCCTCAGGATGTGGTCTGAATGGACATTTATCACCATGCCAATTAACCACAAGGCAAAACCTAAGGAATAAACAAGATTATTATGGTTAATGACTGGAAGGAGTTAAGAAAGCCTTGCTCAACTGAACAGCACACCACAATCCTTGTGTCGGTGTGAGCAGGAGTATGAGCCATGGCTGGCAACACCACCACAGACACCAGTGCTAGCCACAGCAACAGGCTGTTTAACCACGTTTATAGACATCTACTCTACCCAAACACTTGTGGTCTCAACCGGTGTTTTTATCATGACAGGAACAGAAAACAGGATCTGTGACCCGGACACCGGGGAACTCGTGTGCAGGTATGTTCACCTCCCCTTTCCTTAAGAAAATGATATAAGGCCGGGCGGTGGTGGCGCACACCTTTAATCCCAGCACTCGGGAGGCAGAGGCAGGTGGGTCTCTGTGAGTTCGAGGCCAGCCTGGTCTACAGAGGGAGATCCAGGAAAGGCGCAAAGCTACACAGAGAAACCCTGTCTCGGAAAACCAAAAAAAAAAAAAAGACAGAAAGAAAATGATATAATACTTACAGTGTTCTCTCCACATAAGTAGAGGCAAATATTTACTGGCTACACCCCCTACACCCCCCCCCCCAGGCATAGATCTCGGGTCCTAGCTATGGTCCTTTCTCCCCTCCCCTTCCAGCTCTGCAGTGCATGTCCCTGACTTTCAGCCCATCAGCCTGCTCCCAGCTCCCCAGGCGGCTCCCCCGTCACTTGGCCACTCCTCTCCTCCCCTTCCATCCCTAGGGGCGAGACACCCCATGGCTCTTGCTGGCACCCCAGCACCTAGGAGGTTCCTTTCCCGGGGATAGTTCTTCAAATCCTCAGGAGTTTTCTTGCTTTTATGAAGCAGAGTGTGAGATTTTATTAAACATATGTTCATATCTGCTTCAGCACAGAGGTTAGGAAAGAGGCTCTCAGATGTGGTTGTCATAGAAAGCATTGGCCTCACATCAGTTATTTTCAATCAGAAAAGGCAAAATGCCAAAATTCTGCTTTAAAAAAAAATGACTCTGATACAAAAAGGGAAAGTCTGATATTTCTGAGATACTAAAAATGTGAAGGCCAAATAGTGTTGCAACCGTTATCAGTGCAGGTGCACTCGGGAAAGCATCGGACCTTTGACCCGCTGCCAGGCCATGGGATGCCCTCGTAGTACACGGACCCTTTGAAGCAGGCTCCTGGGTTTCTTCATCCTGACTCTGCCACCAGGAACATCATTTCCCCCCCTAAACATAGCAAATGCCATGACAAGGTCTACTGTATCCTGGTAACTATAATGAGCTCAGTAGTTCTTTTAACTTTTGGTCTTTAGATGTTTACATGATTTACTTATCTTAGCTTTTAAATAAAGTTACAAACAAAATCATATCGTCAGGATCCCATACTTATTTACCCCATTTCCCTTCTGAGAGACTAGCTTTCTTCTAGGCTGAGACTTGAAGAGAACTACCATTTGTGTGCATCCAAAATACACAATGAATTTAATTTGTGGGACTTAAGAAGCATAGCCTTTAAAAATGTATCTGTGATGGTTAAAAATGGATTATTAACTTGACTGGATCCAGAAGCACCCAGGAGATAGACTTCTGGTCATGTCTGCATGGGTTAATTGGAGTGAGACGATCCACTCTGAATGTGGGCAGCACTATCCCATGGCCTGGGGTCCTGGATTCCATAAAAGGAGAGAGCCTCCCTGCACCAAGGCTTCGCAAAGTGTCTCAGCATAGGTACTAGGGTCCAAAAAGCCAGCTCATGCACTAGGGACAAGTCCAGATCCCACTGCCTGGGGGTCCCCTAAACAGTTCAAGCTAAACAACTGTCTCAATTATCCAGAGGGCCTAGTCCAGTACCATGGGGGTTCCTCAGCTATTGGTCCACAGTTCATGTATTTCCACTAGTTTGGCTAGTCATCTCTGTACTTTCTCCCATCACGGTCTTGATGTCCCTTGCTCTTAGAATCCCTCCTCTCTCTCATCCATTGGACTCCTGGAGCTAGTGGACCTGTCTCAACTGAATGTAGACATTGCCTTGGAGGAGGTGGGAATGGGGGGTGGATTGGGGGGGGATGCTGGGGGTGGGAGGAGGGAGGACAGTGGAATCTATGGTTGGTATATAAAATGAATAGAAAATTTCTTAATAATAATAAAAAGATGTTAAAAAAAAGGAGAAAGCCAGTAGAATAAACAAACACACTCACCTCTCTCTGCCTCCTGACTGCTGACACAACATGACCAATGACCTCATGACCCAACCACCACAGTGTCTTCCCTCACACAATGGACTGTCCTCTCCAATCATGATCTTTGTTACAGCAATGAGAAAAATAAGCAGCTGAAATGGGAACCAGGGTATTCCTGTCGCTGGGACAAACCTGTCAGTGTGACCACCAGGTTCCTCCGAGGTGGAACTGGTTTATAGCAGGAGTGTGGAGCAGTTGGAACTTCACGTGAAAAACATCCTAGAATGATGTAAGCAGGGCTTCATGGCCCATCCTGAGGGGAGTTCAGAAGATCACAATTCCAAAAGAAATACGGACAGTGGAGACTCGTCTCATGCTGTCTCAGAAGGGAACACTGGCCTATCAGGAACTGGACTAGAAGGAATTTGTCACACCTCGGTGAAGACGGGCAGCATTCTACCCATGTCCTGAGAACTAGAAGGAGGCTGGGGTCAAAGGAGGTGGGCTGATTTGTGCGGTGGAAGAAATTTTAAGAGGGGAAAGCATCTAGGCTGTGGCTTGGCTACTGCTCAGAAAGTGTCGTAACAAAGATGAAAAATGTGCCATTTGCTGAAAGAAGGAGGCGGAAGTGAACCTCTGGATATGTCTGTAAGAGGACTCCTGGGTATACAAGACCTCTGGAGGGTTAGGGGATAGATAGATCCCGGGAGCCCAGCTCTGGTCCTCTCCTTCCCTTCCAACTCTAGCTGAGGTGGGAAGATGCACCCTGAATCTGGGTGGCACCTTCCACGGGCCAGGGTCATGCACGAGCTTAGTAAAGAGAACGCGAGCCGAGCTTCATCATTCATCTCTCTCCACATCATGACTGTGGATGCAGCGTGGCCAGTCGCCTCACGCCACGGCTGCCGCCGCCGCCACCACCACCACCACCACCACGGTACCTTCTCTGTCATGATGGACTGTGCCCTCAAACCCTGATAACCCTTCCTCCCTTACATTGCTTTCGTCTTATATTTTGTCACACAGAGGAGAATAAAAACTGAGACATTATCAGAGCTAAAATGGACAAGCCCTCCCTAAGATAAATAGGTAAATAGAGCCGGGGGAGGGGATGCACATGTGCATGTGGGAACCGCAGAGCTGGGGGAGGACCAAGCACACAGGTTCTACCAGAACCACAGCCTTACCCAGCAGCCACGGGAGCTTCCAGGAGAAGGTGTCCATAAGGGGTTCTGCCTCAGAAACAGTGAACGTTGACTGGATACCACATGTGTTACCTTTGTAAACAGCCCGCACATCCCCCTGCATTTGACTCTTAAGCCTTCCCTTTGCCTCTCAGCCTCTTCGAAGGCACTGGCAGTCTTCAGCAGGCTGTGCATTTCCATAGTGATGCCCTTGCACCCCCAAACGCACATCACTGTCTTTCAGAGAATCTTCCTTGGACTGTTACTTGGGGTGGCAAATCTTTCAGACTAACCACTTTTACTGCTAGGGGAAATTTTTTGTTAGAATTTTATTCCTGGCAGTAACTAGCTTCAGGACAAATACCTATCCACACAGCTTCCTGTCTCCTCACAAAGCAATACTTCAGCTTTTGTATATACATTAGCGGATTCCTACAATGATTTTTTTGTATGCTATGTGTGGTTCAAAGAACTCCTAACAGTGTATTTATCTAAAATGCCTATCAAGCATCCAAGGCTTAATGATCTCCTGAACTAAGGTAATACCCTATTGGAAACAACGCCTGTCTCCTAGGTCAGGCAGATAGCTTTATTTCTTGTACAATTTAAGCTGAGACCCTCCTTTCTTATACAGTCTTACTAACATTATAGACTCCTAACATTTTTACCTAAGCACTTCTAGGAATGTAGATTGAGCACATATATTCCCTTTTTGATATCCTGGAAGCAGGCTAGGATGCATACAAATAAGTTTACGATTAGTTTACAGCCTGCCTCCTGGTGGGTCTTCCTAAAGTGTCCTCGGGCCAGCAAATTATCAAAAAAATTAGAGACACGGAATAAAATCTGTCTCTTGTGAAGATGCCGGTATGCCACCCGCCATGTGGCAAGGTATAGATTTATGGAAATGGATTAATTTAAGCTGTAAGAACAGTTAGCAAGAAGCCTGCCACGGCCATACAGTTTGTAAGCAATATAAGTCTCTGTGCTTACTTGGTTGGGTCTGAGCGGCTGTGGGACTGGCGGGTGAGAGAGATTTGTCCTGACTGTGGGCCAGGCAGGAAAACTCTAGCTACAGTCTTGTTTCCCAGAGCTCCCTGGGATTAGGGCTAAAACTTAAGCATCTGGAGAGTAAGGCTCCTGACCCCACAGGCGGAAGTTTTAGCTGTGGCATTTAAGGTGTGCCATGAGAGAGATAAGAAAGCCATGAACAAAACTGCCCAATGGTGGCACATGCTATCCAATCGGCTTCCCCAAAGCCGCCAGATCCCTGTTTTAAGTGCAGAAAAGAAGATCACGTGGGCTAATGCGTGCCCTGCCGGGCTATCAATTAAGCCTTGTTTAAAGTGCCACCTAGAGAGATAACTGGTCAGCTGACTGCCTTCATGCACCCAAGTGCATGAGGACATCAAACTAAGACTTCCAGCAGACCTCCTAGGCTTGGCCACGGGCTCACAGGGAACCCAGAACGCAGCATGGGGGTGAGCTGTTTCCTTCCTGTTGGACCACAAGCCATTTAATCAGTCCTGAGGGAGTTTTGGGGTACCACATCTCCTTCTCATTTCCCTATTATTGGGGTAGGGGGACAGCCTTACCCATCTCACCAGACTCCACCAGACTTAATTGTACTTTCCAGCTAAGGTAGGAGCTT